AAAAAAAAAAAAAATCTAACCAAAGAGGAAAACGACTCATACTCTAAACACTATAAAATATTGAGGAAAGAAGAGGAACAAATGGAAAGATATACTGTGCTCATGGATTGGGAGAATTAATATTGTTAAAATGGCCATACTATATCCAAGACAATCTAAAGACTCAATGCAATCCCTATTAAAATACAAATGGTGCTTTTCGCAGAACTAGAATAATTCTATAATTTGTAAGGAAACACAAAAGACCCCAAATAGACAAAACAATCTTAAGAAAGAAGAACAAAGCTGGAGGTACCATGCTCCCTGATTTCAAAATATACTACAAAGCTATAGTAATCAAAACAGTATGGCACCGGCACAAAAAAAGACACATAGATCAATGGAACAGAATAGAGAGCCCAGAAATAAACCCACACTTATATGGGAAGTTAATCTATGACAAAGGAGGCAAGGATACACAATGAGAAAAGATTGCCTTTTCCCATCACCTCTAAATGGTGATGGGAAAATTGGATGGCTACGTGCAAAAGAATGAAACTGGACCATTTTCTCACACCATACACAAAAAATAAACTCAAAATAGATTAAAGACTTAAATGTAACAAAGGAGGAAAGAATATACAATGGAGAAACAACAGTCTTTTCAGCAAGTGGTGTTGGGGAAGCTGACAGCCACATATAAAATCAATGGAGTCAGAACACTCTCTCACACCCTACACAAAAATAAACTCAAAACGGTTTAAAGACTTAAATACAAGACATGACACCATAAAACTCCTGGAGAAGAACATGGGAGAAACATTCTCTGACATAAATTGTAGCAATGTTTTCTTAGGTCAGTCTCCCAAGGCAACAGAAATATTAATAAACAAGATCTAATCAAACTTAAAAGCTTCTGCACAGCAAAGGAAACTATAAACAAACAAAAAGACAACCCACAGACTGGGAGAAAACCTTTGCATACAATGTAACTGACAAGGGCTTAATTTCCAAAATATACAAACAGGTCATACAACTCAATAACAAGAAAACAACCAACCCAAAACAAAAAATGGGCAGAAGACCTAAAGAGACATTTCTCCAAAGAAGACATACAGATGGCCAAGAAGCACATGAAAGAATACTCAACTTCATTAATTATTAGAGAAGTGCAAATCAAAACTACAATGAGGTAACCCCTCACACTGGTCAGAATGGCCATCATTAAAAAGTCTACAAATAATAAATGCTGGAGAGGGTGTGGAGAAAAGGGAACCCTCCTACAGTGTTGATGGAAGTATAAGTTGGTGCAGCCACTATGGAAAACAGTATGGAAGTTCCTTAAAAAGCTAAAAATAGAGTTACCATATGATCCATCAATCCCACACCTGGGCACATACCTGGAGAAAACTATAATTCAAAAAGATACATGCACCCCAATGTTCTTTGCAGCGATATTTACAACAGCCAAGACATGGAAGCAACCTAAATGTCCATCGACAGATGAATGGATAAAGACGATGTGGTATATATACACAGTGGAATACTACTCAGCTATAAAAAAAAGAATGAAATCATGCCATTTGCAGCACATGGATGCACCTAGAGATTGTCATCCTAAGTAAGTCAGAAAGAGAAAGACAAATATCATATATCACTTACATGTGGAATCTAAAACATGACCCAAACTTATTTACAAAACAGAAACAGACTCACAGACATAGAAAACAAACTTGTGGTTACCAAAGAGGTGGGGGTGAGGGAATAAATTAGGAGCTTGGGATTAGCAGATACAAACTACTATATATAAAACAGATGATCAACAAGGCCCTACTGTATAGCACCGGGAACTATATTCAGTATCTTGTAATAAACCATAATGGAAAATATGAAAAAGAATATATATACATATTACTGAATCACTTTGCTGTACACCAGAAACTAACGCATTATAAATCAACTATACTTCAATAAAAAATATGAATATATACGTATAAAAAGACATGTATGGGGCTTCTCTGGTGGCGCAGTGGTTGAGAGTCCGCCTGCTGATGCAGGGGACACCGGGTTTGTGCCCTGGTCTGGGAGGATCCCACATGCCGTGGAGCGGCTCAGCCCGTGAGCCATGGCCGCTGAGCCTGCGCATCCGGAGCCTGTGCTCCGCAACGGGAGAGGCCACAACAGTGAGAGGCCCATGTACCGCAAAAAAAAAAAAAGGCATATATGACCTGAAACCACAAACCTTCTAGAAGAAAACATAGGCAGTATGCTCTTTGACATTAGTCTTAGGAATATTTATTTGGATATGTCTCCTCAGTCAAGGAAAACAAAAGCAAAGATAAACAAATGGGACTACATCAAACTAAAAAGCTTTTGCACAGCAAAGGAAACTATAAACAAAACAAAAAGGCTGCCTAGTGAAAGGGAGAAGGTATTCACAAATGATATGACCAATAATGGGTTAATATCCAAAATATATAAACAGCTTACACAACTTTGCATCAAAAAAAAAACCAGGTTAAAAAATGCGCAGAAGAACAAATAGACATTTTTGCAAAGAGGAAATGCAGATGGCCAACAGGCACACGAAAAGATGCTCAACACTGCTAATCACGAGGAACATGCAAATCAAAACCACAATGAGATTATCACCTCACACCTGTTCTAGAGGCTATTATCAAAAAGACAACAAATAACAAGTGTTGCCAAGGATGTGGAGAAAAGAGAACCCTTTTGCACTGTTTGTGGTATTGTAAATTGGTGCAGTCGCTATGGAAAATAGTATGAAGGTTCCTCAAAAAATTCAAAAGAGAACTGCCATATGATCCAGAAATTTCACTTCTCCGTATTTACCAGAAAACAAAAACATGAACTCAAAAATATACATGCACCCCAATGTTCATCACAGGATTATTTACAACAGCCAACATGAAAGCAACCGAAGTGTCCATTGGTAGATAAATAGACAAAGATGTGGCGTGCACATGCGCGCGCGCGCACACACACACACAGGAATATTACTCAGCTATTTAAAAAACGAAATCTTGTCATTTGCAAAGACATTAATGACTCTAGAGGGTATTATGCTAAGTGAAATAAGTCAGACAGCGGAAGGCAAATACCTTATGATCTCACTTACATGTGGAATCTAAAAAACAAAACAAACAAACAAAAGGAAAACAGATTCACAGATACAGAGAACAATTGGATGGTTGCCAGAGGGGAGGGAGTTGGGAGTGGGGGCAAACGAAGTGAAGGGGATTAAGAGGTATAACTTTCCAGTTATAAAATAAATAAGCCACGGGAATACAATTTACAGCATAAGGAATATGGTCAATAATAATATAACAACTTTTTATGTGGAAGATGATGGTTACTAGACTTAAGGTTGTGATCACTTCATAACGTATGCAAATGTCAAATCACTATTTAGTACACCTGAACCTAACATAATATTGTACTTCAACTGTATTTCAAAAAAAAAAAAAGAAATCAAGAGTAAAGTATCGAATAGTTGCCACAATTTACAAAACACCAATATAACAAATAAGCCTCCTTTCCTGCCTGTAAACCACCAACCTAATTCTATTTAGGGAATAGAAATAAGAGCACTGATAACATTTTTTTACTTCCCTTCTTTCAATTTAACATTGTATCATAAGTATTTTAAAAATTCCCCTCAGCCTGTATAAACTACCATCTGAATGACTAAATAATGTTTTTTCAATTAAATGTACTACCATTTTCTTCCTTTTTTCTTCCATTTTTATTAAGATATAATTGGCATATAGCACTGCAGAAGTATAAGGTTTACAGCATAATAATCTGACTTACATACATCATAAATGACTACCATGGCTAAGTTTAATGAACATCCATCATCTCATTTTCATACAAAATAAAAAAATTTTTTTCCTTATGATAAGAACTCTCAGAATTTACTCTCTTAACAACTTCCATATATCTTACAGCAGTGTTAATTGTATTTATCATGTTGTACATTACAGCCCTAGTACTTATTAACCCTATAACTGGAAGTTTGTACCTTTTGACTACCTTCATCTAACTATCCCCCTCTCCCCACCCCCTGCTTCTGGTAACCACAAATCTGGTATCATCTTCTATGAGAACATTTATTTGTTTTTCAAATGTAACTGACTTATAACACTACCTCAGTTCTTGGTGCACAATATAGTAATTCAATATTTCTATACATTACAAAATGATCACAATGTCAAGTCTAGTTACCATGTTTCCACACAAAGATATTACATTATTATTGACTATATTCCCCACACTGTACATTTCATCCCTGTGACTCATTTACTTTGTAACTGGAAGTTTAAATGTACCATCATCTTCTTAACCAATAACTGTCAGCCGTTTAAATCTATTTTTTTGTTCTTATAAATATTGCTGTATAGCTATACAAAAGAATGTTTCTTTCTTTGGAATTTTTTTTTAAATTACAAACTAGAAATGAGACTTTTCCAGTTAAAGCATATGAACGTTTTTATGGTTATTGATACAAATAATCCATTTTCCCAAAAGATACCAATTGAAACTAATGAATATATACGTATCCTAAATTTGCTAGCAATGGATTTTTTTAATGTTTGCTAATATAAGAAATTGCTCAACAAAACTAAGAATGTTGAACTTTTACCTACACCTATTTACAAACTGTGTTTTTCTTTTATTGTGAATTGTGCACTGACATAAACTTATCAATAGCTGGTATGAATGTTCTTCTTCCAAATTATGTAACACAAGAGTATTTTATCTGCCCTAAATCTACCTGCTTCAAACTTTAAGAAATTTTTTCTACTTCTAGTGATTGAGAATTTGTGAAAAGTCCATGTTTGCTCCATGTGAAAGCTTCTTGGTTGATAGATTGTGATATCTTGTTATTGTAATGAGTATGTTTAAAATACAGTTACTAAATGATTTTCAGTTGCATCAAAAATTTTGGCTTAACTATGATATCACCATTATGTAAATTTTAAAAATTATGACATTACCTTTTCCTCATTTGTTGTAGAAGAATCAAGATCCTTTCTTTTCTTCTTCAATTTTTTATCTTTACTTTGTTTTGTGCCAGAAGTCTGATAAGGCTGCAAATCTACTCGAGAATGAAATTGATATCGACCACTTTCCACATCACAGTAGTAATAAATTCCAGTGGAAGGATCATAATATAGTTGATTTTCCTTTCAAAGTTAAGAAAACAATAAGTTCTATTCAAGTAAGATGAAATAAAATAGAAAAATAGACAATAGAAATGACAAATATATTCAAATACAGTAAATTTTCTTTTAAGAACTATAGTATTTTTTGGAAAAAATGAATAAAGGTAACAGAATGAAAAATGCTTGTAATTTTCCAAAGTACTTTACCATTCAATATCTGCTCTAATTTTCCTGGTGTGGAAAATGAATACATATTATATTAAAGCTCATGAAATTGCCAATATTTGACCATTTTTTTACTTATAGAAACAGCAACTTCATATGGTTCAACAGAAACCTTTTAGAAGTCATGAAAACTAAGGTATGCATCGGAAAAAGCCAACCATATAAAAGCAATTGCAGACTCATTCTCCATATAATTACATGATAATGGTTTGGTAGTATAAACCCCTAAACCCTCCTCTCAATGACATAAAACAAAGAGTTGCCTTTCAGTGTTCATGATTCAAAATCCTGGAGAAAAACCTGAAAATAAAATTAAGCTCATGAACACTACAACATAACATTCTGTACAAAGAAATCAATAAACAATTGTCTTCACTAATCAATTAATTCTACACTAAGTAACTACATAAGATTTAGAGTAATGCAGCCATGCAATATACAGTTTTGATAAATTATGGATAAAAACTAGAAAGATAAAATTATGTAATCATCTGCATTTATTAGATACTGGCCAGTACTCTATAACCAAGATTTACTTGAACAATCTGTATCTTATTTACATCATAAATCCATGCAGATCAGACTTGGAAACATCTTGCAAAGATATATACTGAGATTAAGCAAGTAAAGCTTCCTGAAAAAGAATAATTTATTTTTCTAACTGTTGATACTATTGCAATTTATTGTCTTTAATTCATTTTGTAGATCTCTTACAAAAATATTTAGAATTCTCACTATCTTTCCTTCAGCTAAAAACTGAATGGAAGCTTTCTGATCTTTATTTCCAGTGATAACAGAACTTCTACAACTCAAATCTTTTTAATCTGCTATGTCTTTCAGTCCAAAATATAGACATTTTCAAATATGTAAGAAAATTAATTAAAATGAAAACTAGCACATTAAAAATGGCAAAGCACTGAAGTCCCTACTCCACTGAGACACAACCTGCAGAATGTAATTAAGCATTTACAGAACAGATGTCAGGAAGAAAGTTACAGAAAAGAAGGTAGAAGAATGACAAAGACTAACGTCATATACTTGGAAATTCCATATTTTTCTAGAAACCAAGTAATTAATAGCTATTTTCTTTGGTAATAAGAGTTTAAACATTAATTTTCTAGGTATTAATTAGCACTGTCAATTAGCATACTCCTGTGAAATAAAACCCTCTTTTACAAAGTATTTACAAAGTACTATACCAAGTACAAACTGACAAGCTAATGAAATCCCTTATCTAACTAAAATATTTACTATTATCATTACGTTCCCTAGAGTAGTTAATAATAGTTCCAATAACTGGAATGGTGAATATCTGCTCCACTTTGGGGCACTACATTCTGTAATTCCTGAGGACCAGATCATATGTGTAGACCACTGAGGTTGAGGTATGTGGGTATATAACTTCCAGGATCATTGTCACCAAACCTGAAAAAATCCAATTAAATACCAGACCTTCAACAGTCATAACACTATATTATAAATCAAGAACTTTCTTTTCTGGTTTTGTCCTAGTCCGTGGTCCATTATATTTCTGATTCCATACTAATTCCCTAGTTCTCACTGTTAACAAATTGATTTTTTTTAAGTGAAATGCTTAAAAGTCACAAAATATAAAACAATGACTCATAATAAACATACTATAAAGAATTTAAGAAAAAAACTCCTCTGTGGTCTAAAATGGATTCATAAAGATATAAGTATTTGAAACAATTTTTAGAAAATCTTACCCCAAGCCTAGAATTAACAACATTACTTCCTTTTAGTTTAAGTTCTTAAACATTTTACAAAATGTAGTTGTCTCCTTTTATTAATAAATATGCTAACATTTTTGTATGTTACTTTACATATAAAAGGTTATTAGATCTCTCTAAAATATTAATCTATAATAACACAATTAACTTATTTAATTAAATAAACATAGAAATATAGTATCATAAGCTACTTTATAAATCTTTACTCTTGCCAAATAGCTTTAAATAAATTTTTACATGCAGCTCCCTGCTTATCTTAATTCAACCTAGGGTTTAATATTTGGTATTCAAGCAGCTAAGAACACAACTATACAGTATTAAAAGGTCTGAGATACTTACAGAATCGTAATAGAATCCAGTGCTGTGATCAAAATACAATCCAGTATTCTCATCATAACTAAATCCAGTCTGTGATACAGCAGCTTCTGCTGCAGCTCTCAAACTTTCAGCTAGTGATGAACCTTCTAAGGATGTATCTTCTGTTGCTAACACAGATGCTGGCTCCTATGTATGATACAATCATGTCAAACAGGACAAAAACATCCTCGTATCAATATAAAAGTTAGCAGAACTTGAAACAATAAACAGACCTAAAAACTATTCTGAATAATAAGACCTCAATTTCTGCAATGGAAAGGGATGGCTATCAATTACAATTTGACCCACTTTAAAAAATATGAATTAGTGTATCAGTTAATTCAATTCTGACCCAGTTTTGAAGACACTAGAAGTAAGTGAGTGACCATTACTCAAAACTAAATGCCTAATACCATATGGAAGCAATCCACAAAATCCAGACTGAAATATTCTTTAAGACAAATGATCTGGCTTCTTCAATAATTACAGGCTCAAGGGGAAAAATAATTTTAGAAAAGAGATAGAGAAGAAAGGTATAAATTATACATCACACATCAAGCAGTTGCCCTGTACGAACCTTACTGGGATCGTGATTCAAACAAATGGTAAAAACAAATTTATAAAACATTCTGGGATATTTGAACAGTGGCAAGATATTTGACATAAAGGAAGTATTAAAAAAAATTTGGTGTGAACATGGTATTGTGGTTGCTCAAAATTTTTTGGTTGAGTCAAACGTACTGACAAATTTTGTTTAGTTTATGTACAGCATACATTTTTGCAACACAACAGAGTAGGAAAATAGTTACACATACGAACAAGTTCTAATTTTTGTTTCTCAAAAACTGTATTATTCACTGCATAATTACACGCAGAACATTTACAACCCTTGTATATGTTGTAATAAACCAAAGAAGTCTATTTTTCTACGCAATAACAACAAAGAACAAGTTCTTGAGTATCAACAGTTTCAAGTGAAGCGTTTTATTACCTGTGAATTTGAGGCAAAATGGTCCTCTTGTCCACAATTAACATTTTCTGTTATATCAGTACCAGCATAAGCATCATTTTCTATGTGTGACTGGTCTTTAGAATTAAAAGTAGAAGCTTTGATATCCTGATCTTCCTGAACTGGGAGTTCAGATGCTTTATTTGGAAGATTAACATCATTATAGTATGTCTGATAATAATAATCTATTGCAAAAACAAATTAAGTTATATCATATTAGAATAGTGTATATAAAAAGGACTTAATTCCAAAACACTGGCACTGAACACAAAAGAGCACACGTTGCAAACAAACCATATTTTTATAATTATACACATTTTAACAGATTAAAATTAATGGTCCAAATAAATCTGCAGAGATATATATCTTTGATTCTAATGTCACCTTCAGTTCCCTAGCTGTCAAGCTAAAAAGGAAAAAAAGGTAAGCAGATTTGGATTTTCCATAGCAAGAGTTAAAAGAGAAAACAGGTAGATAGGTTGTGTTCTGTCAAAAAAAAAAAAAAAAAAATTAGCAACTCTTAACGTCTAATTACATACCACAGTATACTTCAATATCAAATGACAACATGTCAAGGGCTGACTTTTTCTGTCAAATTTTGCTCATGGTGCTGACTTTTTAAAAAACATAATATTACACAGATATGTAATGTTCATACCATTGCTGTGTTTAGCAATTTGCTAAGTTGCATCTGAATAAAACAAGGCAAAATTTAATGGGAAAGATCATTTCTTGTTATCCCTATTTATTAAAACTTGGTTTCTCAGTTATTTTGCCTCACAACATAATGCCACTAACAAGGCCTGGGTTGTAGGCTCACCCCATTCCCAGGAGGGCCTAGAGACTGACACTGAATTGATGCTAGGTGGAACACATCAACAAGAAAACACATGCCCCTGGTCACAAGTAAGGTCAAATGAGAGGAGATGGCTTACAGCATAGCACATATTACTCAGTGAATGTGCCACTGAAAGCATATTAGCAATATTACGTATTTACAGGAATAACAATAAATTACTACTTTCCCACCAAAAGAGCAAATAGATTATCTGAAAATACCAAATCATATGGAGAAAAGTCAACTTTGTAACAGCTCTCCTATTTATCTAGATGTATACAGATTCTAAATTTAAAGAAAACTCCATGTTAGCATGATTTGAATGTGGTAGTATTAGGATATCTTCACTATAAGCAGAATACCTGAGATTGACCAAGGAGGGTGGTTCTCTGTTTGTACTTCTACATCAGACTTTTTATTATCTTCGTTTCTCCCACAACGGAGTATTTTACTGAGCTCTTCTACCTGAAAGAAAGCAAGGCTTTAGGAAAAATAAACCATACAGCAATCTAATAATATACACACTGTTCTCCTGAAATTACAATAATTATTTTTCCTGGTAAAAGTTTGGAGAAGTACCAATATCAGCTAGTTTCCTTTTCAGAAAAACTGAAAATACTACAATATAATTGGCTTTCACCTTTTACATCTGCAGAAGGAAATGTTTTTATTCTTATATTCTCTATCTAACCTCAAATTATTACCTCCAAAAATCAGACTGACTAAATTAATAAGACTTAGTGAACAGGATCCTTTATTTCTAACAAATAAGAACGTTTTTATACTACTATTTTAATCAGTCAGCAGTTCTCCCTAAGTAGAATTAAATCATTGAATTAAATTATCTAGTATCATTCAGTGTTCTCCACCTGGAATTAACCATTCACTTAAATAATGCCACTCATATACTTTAACATACTTTTTCCTTGAAATAGTAATCTTATAATTAAGTAACTGGAGCAGAAGGAAAGAGAGGTGACTGCCTCAGAGATGCATCTTGCCTCCCTGTGTCTCACTGAATACCAAGGCCATAACAACTGAGTGTGAAAAATACCCATAAGCAGATGAAGAGCAGCCTCATCAATACAGCTCAGTCAGACAGGAACTCAGTGTGAGATTACACCCATTATAAGCACAAAACCAAAAAACAAGCTTCTTTAATGATACATAAAGCTTAAAAAGAGAAAGGTGATAAGACTGATTATATACTGATTATCTGTGCACTTCACAGATAATCAGATCTGCTGCTACCACCAGGGCAGGAACTAGAGTGAAGCGAGCAAGGCACCTAAGGCACAAAATTTAAGGAGACATTCACTCTCGGCTTCATGCAAGTATAGAGTCATACCTGAGAATGAGTGCCCCCTTGAATTTTTCGCCCTAGGCTACTGATTGCCTTGCTCTAATCCTGGCTCTGGCTACTACCACTATTACTATGAACAAGACCATTCATATGGAATCTGCTACATGCTAGGCACTGCACTTGGTACTGTGGGTAACATCTCATTCATTCTTACAACCACCTTACAAATTAGTTGTCCTAATCCCCATTTTACATGTGAGAAATCTAAAGAAAGTAATTTGCACAAGGTTTCTTTGACTCCAAAGCCTGTACATATTGTACTTTCCTGCTAGTTCACCCTCAATTCTCAAGCCAAATTTTCACTGCTCCAGATAAAACACTATCTAGTAATTAGGAATGACAGTTAACAAACTCCACCCACCACCAGGGGAGGCTGACTAGAAAGATAATAAAGAAGAATAATTACTATCACTAGTAAAGTTACAGCTTTCTATGCTTTTCAATTTTTCATATTAGACTGCCAGCAATTTAACACTAATAACCAAAACGCTGCCTCTTCAAAGATTAGCAAAAACGTTTTCTTTTAGGTTCTCTATAGCAAGCGGTACTTTTACAATTTAGAATTATAAAAGGGTTTTTTTCACAGCTCATCATATTTTACTCCCCTTTCCCCACAATATTTTAACAATATCTGTAGTCTCCTAGCACAGTCGCTGTGCATTGTAGTTGTCCAATAAATAGTTGTTGAGTAACAAAACACAAATTTTCGGTAATGTCATAACGTTAACAACTCTATACAATGGGCACAGAAAGTCACTGCAACTCAGCGGTTATTTTCATAGATTATTTGATAGCAAAGCGTAACAAAGTTTGATGATACTTTAACGTTCAGCCTACATTTGTAGTTTTAGGAAATGTATCAATATATGCCAAAAGACTAGACAACAGTTTAACTGAAATTAATAATTACGCGGAAATAACTTGTTGGGAAAGAGTGCGACTGCCCAAAGCAATCAAGCTGAAAAGATTATGCTGTTTAAAAGTTTTTTTAAAATGCGAGTTTAAATATTTGTCCTTACTGCATGTTATAAGAACAAAGTTAGCTACTTAGTGTCTCTAACGAAGACAGTTCTATCTTCCCTACTTCCACTAGACTACTCAAGATGAATGCCCAGAACAACCTCACACATAGCTAGCGTTCAGCAATTTACAAAACTGTAAAACAGTCTGTTGACATTTACTTTGATTTAACCTCCACCAGTGTGGTCCTAGCATTCTCATTTTATGGGCCACTGAGGCTCAGTATTAGTTCACACATCTAGGGTATGATAAATGGGATTCTGATTGAAATCCGGCGCTTTAACAAACTCAAAAGTGATCTAGAACAAAATATTAGAAATGTGCCTTCTGCCAATGGGACTTCACAAGTGAGAATGAAGACTGAAGTACTTAAGTGCACTCCACGCCGGCCACAACTGCCGCTCACGCACTTATCTAAACCGAGTACCCCAACGCTTAGGTTTGTTTCAAATGTACCTGGAATTATCATCGCACTGAACTTTTAACTCTTTCAGGTACTCTATAAAGCAGTCCTGGGCCCTACCAGGGAGACCTTCTGAGGCTATCTTAGACTTCGAAGGCCTCATCTCGGGCTGGATGGGGCGTGGGGCTGGAGGCGGACCGCGCACCTGCGTGCGGAGCTCCTGGTTGTTGCTCTCGGCGCTCTGGTACAGCCGCTCTGTGTGATGCAGCAGCTTCTCGATCTCCCGCACTTGCCGCTTGCAGCTCCGCAGCTCGCGTTCCAACTTTTCCACCTTCCGCCTCAGCTGGGCCAGCTCAGGCTCGGGGGAGGGAGGTGGCGACGGCGACAACGAAGGCGGCGGCGCCTCAGAGGCCATGGGGTCCGGCGCGAAGCGGCCCGCGGGAGCGGAGGGACTGCGCTCAAGCTGAGACGGACGCCGACGGACCCAGAAGCCACGGGAGCGCGCGGACAGCGAAAGGCGGCCTCATCCCCGCCCGGCCGCGGCGGCCCGCGGCCATGAGGCCCTAAAGCTGGTTACCTGTAGCCGAGGCGAACTGTGGGCAGCAAGCAAGGGGACCGAGAATGAGCCCAGTCCTCCCGGCTTTGAAACAGTAAAACTTTATTGGTAAGCACCTGCCCGGAGACCAAGTAAGCCACCGAAACGTTGGAGAAATGGGCTGGCCAGCGAAGCAGGGACCAGAAGCGATTGGGCCGTTTCCTGGGCTGAACCGGAAACGACGGCGCCGGCGGTGGGCGGGGCCGAGACGGAAAAGGAAGCGACGGAAGGCGAGAAGGGCCTCACAGCGCACAGGCGCACTTTCCGCCGGCTGCGGGGTGCACGGAACGGGACGGGGCGGGACGGGGCGGGGCGGGACGGGACTGGGCGGGGCGGGGCGGGGCGGGACGTGAGGGCATGGAGAGCTGGCGGAAAAGGTGCTACAGTAGCCCGGGAGGGATAAACAGAATATCGCGCATCCTCTGGTCGCGGGATTTTACCCTTGCACACTTTCAAAACGTTTTCAAACTTTTTGCACAGAGTGCACTTCCTAGTTCCTCGTTTTACAGATGAGAACAGTGACTCTCCAAGAAATGTTTTGCCAGGGTTCATAGAATTGATGCTAAACCAGGACTGTGAACGTAGTGTTCTGACGCTCTGCTTACTTAGTGCTTCTGCGGATTCCGTGAGGTTAGGCCCCCCAGGAAAAGAAAGCAAATTCCTATAGGTCTGGCTTGCAGAGAGAAGCATCCCTAGTGGGAAAGTAAGCAGCAAGATTCTACGGAAGTGGGAGAGAAATTTTTTCTGTTTCAGTGCATCTATTTCGTGTTTCGTCTATATGAAACAGGCGTTTGTTCAGCAGCCTTTAAACTGATGAGGGCTTCTTGGAACACACTTTTCCTTCTTAACCAACGTCATTTAGAATTAGAGCTTGAGTTCGGAATGCCGGGTTTGAGACCTATGGAGGTCAGCGACTACGTCTTGCCTGTCGTCTCCCAGGGCCCAGCTCAGTGCCTGTCACAAAGCGGGTATCCTTAAATATTTGCTGAACATAAGAATCCTGTTTGATGTCCTAGTTCAGTGGCCGCTCTGTGTGCTTTTTGTCCCGTGCACTGCCCACTAGTTAAGTCACAGGCGGTGAGTTCTCCAGCGGGGACCTACCCTCTCTAGGTCCTGCACACATTATTCCTTAGGCTTTAAGAGTCCAAAATGGCACCACAGTGATCTTCTAGCCATCAAAGGATATTTAGTGAGAAGGCAGAATATGTACTCCCCGATGTAAAATAGAGATGTACTGCCCCCTGAAATCTGACTTACCTTAATGCATTATGACTCTAATCAAGAATTTACCCAAATCTTTTAAAATAAAAGCTATATTTCCCACTTTCTTCACCTTTGGGGGCGGGAGGGTAAGGAATTCCATAAACACCACCTGTAAGGTAACTTTAAGGTAAAGGGACTTCCAGTTTATCATTTTATAGATGAGAAATTTCAAGTTTTAACCATTCATTGTAGAAGGAATAAATAAGCTTATTAGCTGCTACCTGAAGCAATGATTTGTCTTAAACGTAATCCATTTAATCCTAAATTCTGACCTATCATGCCACTAGTTTATAACTTACCTCTGACCATCAGTCTGGAAGAAAAGAGTCACAATATATTTTTGAGCAAAAATAAAAGCTTTGTGTATCAGGTGGGAATTGCATTAAGGTTCTAGTAAAAGAACTTAGTTTATAGTGGCTTATTAAACAAATTAGGAGGTTACTCTATTACATTAAAGAAGTCTGGAGATGGACTGTCCAGAGCTGGTAAGGTGGCTCTACCAGCTCTTTAGAGACTCAGGCTCCGTCTGTCTTTCTGCTCTTCTATTCGTAGAGCATATTCCCAGCCTCCAGGTCAATTCATTTTACAATATGGCAAGGGACAAAAGGACTTTCCCAAGGCCCCACCCAGTGATTTCTGTTTATATCTCACCCCTTGCTGCAAGTGGGGCTGGGAATTGTGTGTGCGTGTGTCTTTCTGAGCTGGACACATTATTCCCTCTAACAATAAAGCGTTCTATAAATATGGAAGAAAGAGAAAATACTTGTTGAGTAGGTAAATAGCAGTCTGCCACACCTAGTTTTCAAATCAAAAGGTACTTAGTAGAGTGGACAGGGCCAGTGCCCTAGAGAAACATGCTACTCGGCACCCTTCATAGTTTGACTTTGTTTTTATAGTGTTTTTCCTAAGTTATTATTGATATTTGGTACCTCAGACTGTAATGATACCCTTAGTTTACAACACATTATCAACATTAGCCCATGGATGGCTCTTCTCTTTTTCTGTTTTTGGGCTTCTTTTTGTTATTTTGGTTTTTGTTTTTGTTTTAAAATTTCTCTGTAACCCCAGTCCCCAGTCCCATTACCTCCTTTCTGCCAATATGGGCACCCAGCCTCGCATGCTTGATATATGACCTTAAATATAAATCTATCCTATCCTTATATTTCCTGTGCATTTCTTTTGCATAAGTAGTATTTGGTTTTAGATCTTATGCTGTTTCTTATTTTTTCCACACTAAAGATGTTTTTAAAATTCATATATATTGCTATCGTACATCTAAGTGCTGCATAGTATTCCAAGGTTTACATATACCACATTTTATTTACCTATTACCCTAGTTGTCAACATCTAAGTTATTTCCAATTCTCTATTAATACAATTGATGCCACAATGAAAATCCTTGTTCATGCCACTTTATTGACCTGTGCATTCATTTCTTTGGGATATATAGCAAGGCGTGTGATCTCTGGCTCATAGGGCAAACATTCAATTTCACTACGTTCCACTACATTGCTTTTCAGAATGGCACCAACAGTGCACAAGGAGTTCTTTGTCCTCCACATTCTCTCCAATACATAATATTAGTCCCTCCTGTACATTTTTTTGCCATTTTTATGAGTGTAATGAGGTATTTCACTGTTGTTTTAATTTGCGATTATCAGAGAATTTCATATATTTATTGAAATGGCTATTTGGACTTTCCCCTCTGTGAACTGCCTATTCATAATTTTTTTGCCTATTTCTTTCCTGTTATTTTGCAGTTCTTTCTACAATCTAGATATTAATCCTTTACAGTTTCAGATATTGCAGAGATCTTTTCCCAGTCTGTCATATATCTGTTAAATTCATCTATGGTGTCTTTTATTGAACAGAATTCCTTGATTTTTATAAGTCAAATCAGTCTTTATTCAACTTCATTTTATTTCATATGTTTTATGATTTGGGCTTTTGAATCTTATTCGTGAAGTCTTTCTCCACCCCTGAGTCATATTTTCTTCTGTAAGGTTATAATTTTAACCTTCACTTATAGTTCTCTACTTTAACTGGAGGGATTCAGGTGTATTTTTTCCACACACATTTATCATCTATCAAGTTCCCATATATATCTGAGTCCATTTCTGAGCTCTCTATTCTCTTCTGTTTGTCTGTTAGCCAGAACTATTCTACATTCAACACTTTGATTTTGTAGTATATCTTAATATCTGCTAGGGCAAGTTCCCACTCTGCTTTTATTTTTCAAAATTGACCTACTCATGAACCTCTATTTTTCCATGTAAATTTTAGAATGAGTTTGTTGAGATCCTCAAAAAATACAAAGGAATTTTTATTAAGATTACATTGAATATATAGATTTATTCAGGAAGAAATAGCATAAAACTTTACATTGTTAAGATATCCCATCCACATACATTCTTTTTGTTGTTGTTGTTCAAATTATTCATTCTCTTTTGTCCTTTCATAGAGTTTTAATACTTTTTCTGTAAAAGGTCTTGGGCATTCTTTCTAAGGTATTTCCTAGGCACTCTGGTGTTTTATTGCGAATGAAAATTTTTTTTCTAGTATTTTAGAGAAAGAAAAGTCAAAGTGATGGATAATTTTCTAGCTTGGAGAAAGAAGGTAGGGACCATTGGAGAAGAGTATGTTACACAGGGGAGGGTTGCTTTAGTTTTGATTTTGTTGACCATATGGAGTTTGAGGTTCCTTCAGGACATCCAGTACAGATGCTCAGTAAGTAATGAGCATTCTAGAAGCCCGTCTGAAGCTTAAGAAACAGATCTGGCTGTAGAAGTAGTGTGTAAAGCAAACACAAATGGCTCCAAGGGCTAAGGAGATAAAGCAAATAAATGCACAGGGCATAGGGCAGCAACTACTCAGTTCTGGAGAACTGTGAACCCACGTGGGAATGTGAACCCAGTGTTACAGAGCTTCTGACTTTTCAAGGAAAGCCAGAAATTTGGATTCTTATGGGACATCTGTTTAAAAACAATGGTTCAGATTAGAAAAATCATTTCTATGGTTTCATGATTACATCCTCTTCACTGTACATGTGTGCCTCAGGTGCTGCTCTGGAGTCCTATTTTTACGATCACTGCCACTGCCATCTTTGCTCCTCTCCTTCCCCTTTCATTGTTTTCTAATTTGTCTTTCTTTTCCTTTCTCTTTCCCCTTGATTTTATGATTCTGTTTGAAAAAGTTTAACTCTCTCTCTATATATGTATCACTAGTCAATAATAGAGCTGTTCTTATCTATGCAGTGATTCAAGTAAACCCCACGTCTAATTTAATCTTCAGCCCTTTGATTATCACTTGTAGTAGATGCTGTGGAAATCACATTAATGGCCCCACTTCTTTATCTATCCTGGAGTCACATCCTTTGCCATGTGACTTTGTGGTTTCCTTCACTATAGAGGCCCTCCTTTCCATTTTTGAATCTGGGTTTGGCTGTGTAATTTGCTTTGGCAAGTTGAATGAGGGGATGTGCCAGAACAGTGGACCAGTTCCCAGCCCATGTCTCAGAAGGCCTTAGTATTTCTGCTTGCTTTCTTGGATTCCTGGCCTTGCCATGAGAAGGACACACCTAGGCATATATGCTGGTCTCAGAAGGAGGATAAATAACACATAGAACAGATCTGTTCCAGCTAAGATACTCTAGCTAAGCCCGACAGAGGCCCCAGGAAAACTGCAGACCCTTTGCAATCCCAGCAGAGATCAGCCAGCCCCACACCACCCCAGATTTGTGAGGAATAATAAATGGTGGTTGTTTGAAGCCACTGAGCTGGAGACATTTTGCATGCAGCAATAACAGATATTAACCTGATCTAAAGCCATTCCAGGAGCCTGTGAGTTTCAGCAGGCTGGAGCCCAAGCACTGAGTTACTAGGATACAGGTATCCCCCGTCTTTCTACAGTTTGAGTTTTACCACTTTGCTTCTACGGATACCTGTTTTTGCTAACAAAAGAAATCTGGAGAGGATTTCCACTTTGATTTAAAAAGGCAAAAGCTGAAAATAGTGTTCAGCATTTGTTTTGCAGCACTCAGAGCAGTGAGCTTGGCACCACCAAGCTCCTTCCTGAGAACTACCCTCAGCATCTCAGCATCAACCTCCGCAGATTTGAACCGTGTCTGTGAACATCTGTTCTTTATCTCCATTTATTTTGTGCACCCATTAGAAAGATGTGTCCTAAGGTATCAGAAAAGCCTAAGAGAGCTCGTAGGATGTTGTGCTTAGCATAAAACTGGATGTAATTATTTTGATCGTGGTGAAGAAAATAGACACTGTGCATGCATCGAACTTGACTGCGTCCACCACTTGTACTAATTGCACCCAGAAAGAGAGATTCTTCAAAGCTGCTGAAGTCACTATTGGTTCTGCTAGGAGCAAAGTGTACAAAGTATACAAAGTGCAGCGTTCAGTTAAGTTATCCTACACCTAAGGAGTAATCAGTCAGTCTTTTCAATAAGCTGAAACAGAAAGCACTGGTTGATGGTGGTGAAAATGTTGCAAAAGTGGAATTTAAAGGTAGTCATGGGTGATTTGATCAGTTTTTGAGGCGAGGGGAGTTTCATAGCTTAAAGTTTACTGGAGAGAGTGCTTCAGCTGATACTGAAGCTGCCTAAAAAGGTCCCAGAAGAACTGAAGGAAATAATTACAGAAGGTGGTTATTTGTGTAAGCAAGTGTTTAACTGCAAGGAAACAGCAGTTTATTGGAAAAAGTTGCCAAGCAAATCATTAATTTCAATACAAGAATAGCAGGCTAAGGGACACAAAGCATTGAAGGACAGGTTAATGCTAATGCCTATTATTAACACCACTGGTGATGCTGTCCTTAGGCCTCTACTAGGGTACCATTCAGAAAACCCGAGGGCACTTAAAGGCATTGATAAGAATACACTTCCTGTTGTGTTTCATTCACATTCAAGTGTTTGGAATACCCAAGTGATTTTTTCTGAGTACATGAGTGAATATGTTAGTCCTTTTGTTGAAAAATACTGTAAAGAAAATAACCACGATAATAGGTGTCTTTTGATTGTCAATAATTGTGCTGCTTATCCACCTGGCATTACCGAGTATGGCAGTAACATTTGTGTTGTGTTCTTACCACTGAATACAACGTCATTGCTGCAACCGTGTGACCCAGGCCTGATAGCCACAATTAAGGCTTACTCTATACAAAATGTTGAGCTTCCCTGGTGGTGCAGTGGTTGAGAGTCCGCCTGCCGATGCAGGGGACATGGGTTTGTGCCCAGGACCAGGAGGGTCCCGCGTGCCGCGGAGCATCTGGGCCCGTGAGCCATGGCCGCTGAGCCTGCGCGTCCGGAGCCTGTGCTCCGCAATGGGAGAGGCCACAACAGTGAGAGGCCCGCGTACTGCAAATAAAAAAGAAAAAAATGTGATGTGTTTTATTGTAAGTGCCATTGACAGAAAGGGCAACTCTGAAGCATCTTTATGAGAGATTTGGAAAGGCTACAATATAAAACTGGTAATCAACAACCTTGGAGATGCTCTTGATAGGCTAACCGTCTCGATGAGAAATGGCATTTGGAGGACACTATCCTGAAGCAGTGAAGTATTTTAAGACTTTGAACCAGCAACAATAAATACAGCAAAAGTGACTGTGTTTGTGGAAGTTGGCAAAGATGATGTTGAAGAGGTTTTGGCATTCCATGACCCACAGCTGACAGGTGAAGAGGGTCATCCAGGAACCGACCATGAAGCACTTGTGTGAGCTTTCACCCTGACTGGCAGAGCTGCAGTGATTGCAGAAAAGCATGACTTTAATTTTGAAAGGGCACGTAGGTTTAGGGCAGTTTTGCAGGATGTTTTCAGTACCTACAAAGAATTCTGTGACAGCATATTGCACGAGGCTGAGCAGTCAAGCACATTGTCATATTTCAGGTCTTCCACATCAGCCAGAGCAGACATCACGGCAGGCAGACACAGAAGGTGTAGATGTTAGTGACTTGTCTGCCCTGATGGATTTAGATGGTGATGAGATCTTAATAGGTGACTGTCTTCCTCTCCCTCCTACCTGTCCTCTACCTCCCACCTCCCCAGCCTCCCATGCCTCAGCCTGACACACCATCATCGCTACCTCTCTGCCTTCCAGTGTGCTTACTGTCTTCCCGGTTCTGATAAGTGAAACTACACTGTACCATACATTATTTCTACTTTATCCAGCCTATGCATTTATCATATCACTCCTGCTTTTACCCTATGTTCGTGTTATTTTAGGTTTTATATATTATTTGGTATGATTTGGTAGGTTATTTTTGGGTCTGGGAACACTCACACATTTTTCCATTTAAATTAACGGTAATTGCTTCTTTGCTTTACGCAGTCTTGGCTTACGAAAGTTTACGTAGGCTTGCTCTACTTTCGGATCGTGAGGGAAACCTGTATTCCACAACCGAAGAATACTATCAATGAACTAAAACCTGATTTATATCCAATTTCTTTTAGCGTATCATCAATTCTACATTTAATGAACACTCACCTGTCATAATTTATGTTGAATCTGGTAGCTAACACTCTCCTGTCTGATCCTGCTATTTGATATCACACAAGAATATCTGGGGAGCCATAGCTTTTCAGTAGTTCTGATTTATTGCTCTGTATTACTTCTGGTCAATTGCCCATTAACTGTTTCCTCCCCCTGGAGACCCAAGGAAAGAATGGGTGGGTGTAACACTAAAACCCTGGAGTGATATTAAAGGAAGGAAGCCAAAGGAAACTAGGCAGCCCATCTTCTCCACCCCCAACTGAAATACTTACAATTTGCACCTTCATTGTACAATTGTGTAATGAGTAAAAAGATTACTATATTGTAAATTTCCCCATGCTGCCCCCACCCATCACACATGCCTAATGTGGAGAATGCTGACTCTCCAAGGAGAGTCTCTCCACTAGACCCATTCTAGACCTTTAATATGCAAAAATCAACCCTTTAGACTAGGGCAGTACTTTATCAAACTCAGTGGTGATGGACCATTAAAAAAGTTCCAAGCTATTGTGGATTGATACTTTTGTAAAATATAACGAAGTGTGTGGGTGAATAGGAAGAGGAGAGATTAAGGGATGCAAGAAGTTTCTGGGTAGTAGGAAATGATTACCCTTCAATAACTTAAGAGATACAAGTTAAAGTTCGGATGTGTAAAAAATTACTTGGCTATTTGAATTGAACTTTGAATGCAACTGACCATCATTAGGTTGTTGGCATTAAAATTGGATACAAATACAAAAATTTGCAATTATGCATCATTGCTAAATTCTTTTGAGGGTGTTCATTGCTAGTTGGTGCCTTTCAGGCATCCTACAGCATAAGTGGGAAGGTGACTAGATAGTTCTTTAAAAACATCACTCAAGTCAGCTTATGCTGAACTATGTCTAACTGCCCATTGGTGGAAACGTAGGTAATATCCTTGTCCTGAGCTTGAGTTTTTAAGAAACTTTTATTCACAATGTTAAATACATTCATTTTCTCACTGCCTCCAAAGTTCCTGGGACTCAAACCCTTTCTGCCTTCAATTTTTAAAAATGTTTTTGTGGCAGACACTGCTGGTTGTCAATCCAACAGCCATTCTCCCTTCTTCCTTACAAGGGAACCCAAATTTTGTTCAGGGTATCAATACACCTAACTAAAAGTCTGTATTTCTTACCCTTCCTTATAGCTGGGTGACCATGTGACACAGTTATGGCCAAAGAAGTGTAAGTAGAAGTCTAGAGGAGAGGCAAGTCTCCTGGGAAAGCCCTTGCTTTCCAATAGACAAGGACAAATTCAGGCTTTTGCCTTTGCCTTTCTCTTTATTCTTATTCTCCCTACTCAGAAAGTTGGTATTATGCTGGACGTGGAGCAGCCATATTGTAACCATGAGGCAATCATGAAAATGAACACCACATTCGAAGGAAAACAAACCAGAAGGATAGGAGGATCCTGGGATGTTAACGACTGATACTGTGAATTGCCTATCTCTGGACTTCCTCTTTGGGGAGAAAAATAAACTCCTTTTGATTAAGTCACCATGGTTGGATTTCTAGTTCATTGAGCCAAATGTAATTTCTAAATGACAGTTATTTTTATGTAGAGTAGTTCGTCTACTTTGCTAGATGTCTTAATAAGTTTTAATAACCTAACTTTTAATGAGTAAAACACTTACTACACTAGTTTCTAGACATACTTTGTAAGAGTTTCAACTCAAGAAATGATTGCTAATAAAATGACACTAAAGCTAAGAAATTAATTCTTGGTGCTGTTTTGGTTAGCAATGGAAGATTTGAGGATATGTAGTTTTTTTCTTGACCACCTTTTGTTTTTCCTCTCTGTGACTGGCCTGGGAAAATTTCCAGTTAAAACAGTTCAATTGGCTCAGAGATGAAAGTTTTATACCCTCCAACCTTTTCTCCAGAAGTCAAGGATTAATTAATTGACAAGTATCCAGCAATTAATATCTTAAAACTTACTAGGAATTTGGCAAAGAAATTGTGGATTCTTTTCCAACCAGTGTGACAGAAAAATGTTCCTGGTGTGTTTTGAAGTTTCTGACTTTTCTCCTTTCACTTTGGTAAATATTAACTGAGAAGTGGTGTATAGAAGTTGTATCCATGGTGGAAAGAGGAGGCTGACTGGTTGTGTGTGCGTGTGTGTATGTGTGTGTGTGTGTGTGTGTAGCATTTGTTTGCTACCTGGGTCCATTTGGAAATTAGAATTTGTTACATTTGTAGGTAACTTTGATTCAGGCTTTTACAAATGAGTAGCAGATTTTTCTGTGAACGTAAAACTCTCTAAAATAATAAAATCTATTAAAAGTGAGTAGTAAGCAGAATACCTGTGTACTGAGCACCACCAGTACACCCCCAAGATAGCAAGTGTTCAGTATATGCTTGCTGAAGTGAACAGTAAGAGCATTAAGTGCATGAGAAAACGCAAGTAATTTATATACCAATGGCTGGAGTGGTGCAGAACTGTGGAACTTACAGAGTTTACGAACTGAAGAAAGTTATGTGAAACATTGGCGATACGTGATTTTTTCCATGGTGCCACTGCCTCCCAGCGTGAGATGTGATCAGCATACAGCCACTCTGTGTGCTGATGCAGCATACAAGGATGCAGCACTTTGCACTTGGCCCTTTCCACTGAGCCCAAGCTTGACCTCGTAATCCCCAACTCTTCACTTTCTTCTTATTCTCCCTATCCTTCATAATCCTCAACACAACTGTTCCAGTCTTTAATATGGTTCTGCCAATATTCTTCTTCATCCTTATTTCTAAAATGTGCATAAAATCTTCAAGACAGGCTTTAAAGGCAAAATAGGGTAACATCTATTTGCTCGACCAAAATGTATGGAACACCAGCTACGTGCCAGGCACGGTGGTGGGCTCTGGGCATACGATGGTGAGTGAAAATAGATTCAGTTCATTGTCATTTACAGTCTAGTAGGGGAGACAGGCAGTAGTCAAGAAATCACTTGCAATTCTAGCATTTCTAAATTCCTATGTGATGTTTAGGTTAACTAAATGTGCTTAAGGCGAATGGACTTGAAAACTTTCAGAAGGCATGGTTTAACACGTTTCTCATAACATGAGATGGCCAGCATAGAACCATATCATCCACTGAATGCAAATTACTTTGTAGAACTACAAGTCTTAAAATGTAATGGAAGTTATATTTAAAAGAAGCACTAAAGATTGTCAAAGAAAGTAGAGTAAGGGAAGTCTTGCAACAAGGTCTTTGGTTCCACTAATTAGATTTAAGAAAATAGCAAAGGAAATTCTCTTCTAGAGAATCAAAACAGACAACTGGGACAGAATAAACACTCTTTCCTTGTTAGGGAACCAAAACATACTCAAAACCTTTCTCCCAATTCTTCCACGCTCAGGCATTCTCCCTGGAGCAGGCAAGTTCGCTCGAGATTGGCACAGCATTGTAAATCAACTATACTTCATTAAAAAAAATTAAATTGAATAAAAAGTGTGAAAAGATAGGAATGTTCAGACCATTTTAATATCCTCATCATTATATAGCAATATATAAAATTAATAGTTTATATTTGCTTATTTTTATTAATTTATGTTTTAATATTTTTAATGTTAAAATGTTGTCACAATTATAAGTGATATAATAATATAGTATGATTTTTCCCCTAGATTCTTAGAAAAGTCTGAAGATCAGTCCAGGATAAGGGAAAGGAGTGGGTTCTGAGTCTACTGCACATCAGTCCATCATAAAGGAACACAAGACTGGAGCTGGGTGAAGGAAAGAAAGAAGTGTCCTTAGAGAAGGCAAGGAGCTAACGAGAGGACAGGTTTTTCCTAAGACCAGAAGGAAACAAGAGGATGGAGGAAAGAGGAACCGGGGGGCTGGGGGCTGGGT